CCTGCCGTTCTGCCATCTATAAGCACTGACCAGCCTCTCGCCCGCCGGGCTCCAGCTCCGCCGCTTCATCAGGAAATATCCAGCCAAGCCCAGGAACGCCAGCATGAGTCCAGATGTGACCAAGGCGATCAGGGTCTTCTGAGAAAAGTCCCGGTGGTTCCTCACACTCCCCTCTTTAAGGGATTTTATTCCAAACTGGAAAAAAACCACCGAAGAAAGCCAGAAGTCTGACAAACAGGAAACATGTGCATCTGCTGAACAGGCACCAGGCTTAAAACAATGCTGCTCTTCACCTCCTTGTTAAACTTCACGTAAACAAAGCTGGGCTTTGCTACCCAAGCTCCTGAGCTCTGCACCTGCCCTGCGAGCGCTCGCACCCTCACGGTCTCGCTTCCATCCTACTGTCTTCTGTGGCACAGGGAAATTTTCTCCCTTGGACAAGAGTGCTCAGGGCCTGAGATTTAGAGCGTGCATCTGCGTGGCTGAAATATCTCTGTGCACTGCTGTTGCAGCTCTGTGGGCTGCCATTTATACAGGCACCTGGAGCTCAGCTTTACCAGCCGATGGCAGCCTCGCTGGAGTGTTGAGAGGAGGAATTAATTAATGTCAGCGTGGTACTTTGAAGAAGCAGAGTACCAATTACATCTTAAGAGTTATTGTTGGGATCTAGGCCTTTTTTAAGAAAATACTACCAAATTTTACAGTAGCTATTTCAAGCATTTCTGCCTTCAGCGGCTGTATTAGCGCTCTTACGGTGCACCGCTGCATGGCTGGTGGTTGCCTCCAACCATCTCACGCGCCAGCGCCCAACAAGCACCTCCGAGATGGAGGCAGGCTCAGGTCTCAGCCGTCTGCCCCAGCCTCAACTGACTGGCTAACATTCTCCTTTCTCCAGCCACTCAGGCCATCCATTTTTCTCAGCTGAATTTGCTCAAGGAATTTACCTTTTCCCAGTGAGACTTCTGGAGAACAGCTGTAGCAGGACCTGCAAGGTTTAAAACAGGAGAGGCACATTACACAGAGGGTCACGCTGCAGCTAATGCCAGCATTGGAGAGCCTGCCCGCTGCCGAACACGGAGGAGCCGTGAGCCTCTTCGCGGCTCTGGGGGCAACGCCGTGGCTCCGCGGATCTGGCAGGACCCCGGAAGGAAGAGCAGTCGTTGCAGAGAGAAGTCTTCTCCCAGGCTGCAACTGAGGATTTGTGTTCCACAGCCTCTCCCCACAAACAGTCCCCTCTCCCATTGCCCACATCGAGGTCCTTATCCAGCGGTATCAATGACCGCCAAAGGAATTAGCTCGACTGACCTCTGTCACCGACGAGGATGAGCAGCATACAGTCACGGTCCACCTCGGATTTGGCGAGCTTAATCTCGCAGGAGGAGGGAGTGCGGTGGGCGCTCTCTTCACATATTGCACTCCATAAGTCCGATCCCTTCGTCTCTAAAAAATGTTTCTGCAAAATTTTCAAACAAACAGCCATTGAACCAACCAAACCCACTAATTCTCCATCTCAGCTGTGCTGAAGATGTACCTTCTACCGGCAATGTTGCGCATTCGCTCTTTGTGTTTTGGTGGCTTATCTGCGCTGAGCAGAAGCAACAAGAAGTGACAAACAGCGCTGGGCTGGGTGTCAGACCTTCACCTCCTGCTTCGCCACTGCTTTGAGCCCCAATACCAACACCATAGAAAATGGAGATGCTTATTTCTTGTTTCTTAATGAGATTAAATTAAGTGAAGGTATTTAGCGACTCTTGCAAATGGCATTTAAACAAAGCTAAATTTAGGATCTGAATCGCATGGCAAGTCCCTCTAATTTTTGGACTGAAACAGCCGCCTGAAGAGCCCTATTGTTTCAGAGTCCCAAGCAGGGGCTGGGAAAGGAGGGAAATAACAAAGAAGCATTGAGCCTTCCTGTTTGGGAAATGTCTTCAATGTTTTTGCTAGGTTGCTGATCAAAGGCTAGGCAAAAAAATACAAATTTCTCACATATTAGAGCTGAACCAACTCTTGGGTGGAAGAGGAAGAGGAGTGAGGAGCTGCAGCCTTTCCCTTCTTCAGGCCAATTTCTATATCAGACAGGATAGGCCTTCTCCTCGGGTCTATTTTCAGCCACAGTCAGGCTTGGAGACAGAGCCCACAGTTGCTAAAAGATGTTATCAGCTTCCCTAACATCCTCCCAGCGGGGGACATCATCTGAACTGCGGCCATGCCCACCCCCTCGAGACAGTGACCAGCTCCAGCTGAATCCCCCGTCCTGCCCCTGCCCTCCGCTCGCTCCCCGGGAGGTGCCCACCAACGTGGGGCTGCAAAAGAGGAGAAAACCCTCTTGTCTTGCAGTGTTGTGCAGAGCCGGGCAGCTCAGTACCTTCCCCTCTTTGCCTCAGAATTGCCTCAGTGCTGTGCTCAGATTGCCACATCCTCTTAGCATACAAAAATGCAGAAACTTATCCATGGGAGAATAACAAACAAATCACTTTCAGCTGTTTCTATAGAGCTTGGCTTGGGGTCAGAAAGGCCAAGATGGAACAAGAGACCCAAGTGTGTATTTTCCTTTCTCTGCTGTGGAAAGAACTCATCGGAGTGTCAGAATTTCCCTTTGCAATTAGCAGCGCTGGGTGCCAGCTTATTGCTCATTTGCTTTGGGAAAGGCCAGCAGGAAAGCGAGACACGGTCCCTCCTATCTGCTCTCCTCACAGACGCTCTTATCTGGCTCCCAGGTTCAGCGGCTGCTGAGCCTGAGCTGGTTTTTCCCCACCCGATTGTTAGTTGAGGTGGAAGCATGGGAGAGGTCTGCGGTGGGGTGAGAGCTCCCAGAAAAACACGGCTGGAAGTACGGCAGTTTGACTCGTTTCACATGGAGGGAGGGTTAAGAGTACATGCAATCAGATACAACTCTGTAGGATATTCTGTATGTTAGGTACGCAGCCATTTATGTACTTGCAGGTATGCAATGCGTGCATAATTCCTATAAATCCCGTGCCCCGGAGGTGCTGTTGCCCACTAGATGGCATCTGTGATCGGAATCACTGGCTCCTGGAGGAGTTTCCATGTGAATTCTTGCTAAAGTGCAGTCCCTGTAAACAGGAACAAGTCTAAATGCCAGTTAACCGCCAATTTGCAGAGAAAAGCCAAGTAAGAATTCACTCATCCTAAGTGCTGGCAGTACGGCTGACCGACCATTGTCATTTTATACCCAGGGCACTGCCAAACCTGCTGTCCCACAAGATCCAGCACCGCCTGGCCCCTGTCGCAGGATGTACCCTCTGTGTGAAAGGTTTCTTTCCTCCTACCCACAACAGTGTCTCAGACGGACCCTCCTCTGCTTTTATCAACGCTTCATTTTTGGTGCATGAGGCCAAGGGCGGTTGCAGAGAGCCTGGGATTCCGTTAGGAGTCGGTGCAGGCGGGGACCCTGATCTGCCACCCGTACTCCTTTCAGGTGCCCTCTTTTCTTCCCTAGGGCAGTTGGCAAGACAAAAAAAGGCTCTCGCCTTCCCAACAGGGAAGAGGAAGAAGAAGAACAAAGGCAATTTCCCGTTAAACATGGTGGGAGATATGTTAGAAGCTAAACTGACCCCAGAGCTTCATCACGAAAAAGCAGATTTTATGCAACCAGGAGGTCGCATTTCCCCTGGGACTGCTGTGATCGTCCCCTTGGGATCCTCCTGGGACTGCTGTGATCGTCCCCACCTCCATCAGTCTGGCACAGCTCAAATGCTGTGCCCCAGGGACAACGATGCGAGCTCCCACCCCAAACCGGCCCCCCAGGCACGGTGGGTGACCCCATCGCCGCACGCCTGAGCGTGCTGCAGGAACCTGCCCTCGGCTGTTTGCTTGCAGCCCCCCTCCTCCCACATGTCCCCCCCTTGGAGACGCACGGCCGCCCGGGGCTGCAACTCACGCAAGTGTAGGACTCGTTGAGCTGCAAGCAGATGGCTTCAGCGTCACTCACGTCTTTGACGCTGTGGCACGTGATGGGCTGGAAGGTTAAAAACACAGTGGTGGTATCAGTGAAGCGTCGGGGGGTTGTGGGACAAGTCCACCCTCCTCACGGTCCCGCAGCCCGCGGCGCCCAGCCGCACCCTCACCTTCGGGCTGTCCCTGCCTACGTGCAGTGGCGCGGTGGTGGCAGCTGTGTCGCCAGGATGCTCTGAGGTGGTCGGAGAGCTCGTCAGAGCTGGCGTGGACTCCGGGGTTTCTGCTGTTGTGCTGGGTTGAGGTGCTGGGCTCTCAGTTGTGGGGACCCCTGGGCTCCTGTGCTCTGGCCCCGAGGAGGTGCCCGGCGGCTGCGTGGGGTATTGGCTGGGCTGCGGACTTGTCTGCTTGCTGCTGAGCCCCAGGGAGGTGGGGCTGGATGCCAGGAGCAGGTCTGCAGCTTCAGTTTTGAAGAAACGCAATGAAAAGGATACATGAGAAAGCTTAAGTCCTCTAAAATCAATGCGTGGCATTGCAATGACTGAAGTACAATATTGATTTGTCATAGTCAGCGGTACCAGAACGTGTTACTGGCTGTATAAGAAACGCACATTAGACTTGCTTCAGTTACCTAATTGTTACATGCGCTTCATAATCTGTTTACAATGGGCTAATTTCCTGGGCATACGCTGCACCACAGCAAGGATGCCATCGCCCGACTTCCCCTGCATCGCCCTTGCCTCCCCCCTGACCCAGAGCCTTCAAAAAGATGTACAGATTTCAAACAGCGTAAGTGAAAGGCACCGTGTACCAGTGCAAGGGTCCCTGCCTCACAGCCCATCAGAGCCTTGGCCTCTTACCGGAACGGCTGGCAGACCTCTTAGCGGTGCCATTTGCTGAGCAAAGAATAGGGATGTGGAGGTAAAAGACTGATGAGCATTCTGTCCCATCGTCTCGTGGCTGTTTGCAGAAGGACGGGTCTAAGCTGCCCGTCCTGAAGGCAGCAGTGTTAGGTTGCCCCAGGTGGGATTTTTTTTGGACAGCATTAAAGCTTTTGACCATATTGTCAGGCTCTTTTTTGAGAGCACAACCCATGCACTGACCGTGCGATTTCTTAGGGCAAGCACTTAGTAAATCTGATTATTAATGCAAGTGCTACCAGGCATCACAGGGGGAGCGAGGGGAGCGATTACCGGACGTCTCTGGCGTCAGCGTGGCACTGCTGGGAGTGCTGGGGGCGTCGGTGGCTGTCGTGCTGTTGGTGCCGTTCGTTCCCGTGGTTGAGGTCATGAGTGTGGAGGTGCCTGTTGTGC